TCTGGTGGGGGGGTGGGGTGGTGGGTGCAGGACCTTCCCCTCCCCGTGGCCGTGCCCCATCCCCAAGCCTCCACCCAGAGCTGTGCCCGGTCAGCCCCAAAATCCACCCCCAGCGTCTCTCCGGCAGCGACCAAGAGCGTGGTGGTTTCTGCAACAAGCTGATGCCCTTTTCTTGTCTGACCCAATGCGTTTCTGCACGCCCGTGACACTGGGGGTGCTCACACCCTGCAGAGATCCAAACGCGTGGGGTGGACATTTGCCGGTGGGCAGAGTTGGCCAGGAGGGATGTCCACACCAGGCTGCCCCGGGGCTCCTCAGGCTTCATGGTGGGATTTGGGATCATGCTGGCGATGGGTGACAAGGTGCCAGGAGGGTGGTTGTGCACATCCCTAGAGGGAATGCCCATGCATGTCTGTCCATCAGCACCTCCAGGGAGAAGACCACAGCCATCGACGACATCAAGACAGTGCAGATGTCCCTCTTCAGCTTGGTGAAGGATTTCTTCTGCAGGAGCTTCTCTGGGGAGGAGATGCAGAGCTTGCTGAGCTACATGGCTGGGGCGCAGGATGAGCAGCAGGTACGGCACCAAGCCACCCTGGTCTCCAAAGACCTCAGTGTGCCATGGGCTGGCCTGATGCTTGGCAGCAGGTGGGGAGAAGCCGCTGAGGTCCCGGTGGGGTACATGGAGGGCAGTGGACAACCGGCCCCATGTCCTGCAGGTCTGCGGGGCGCTGGAGGTGATCCACAGCTTGCTGAAGGGCTCGCCTGCCCAGGAGCAGCTCTTCGCCTTCCTCTTTGAGCCGGGCCATGTGGAGGTCCTCTTCTCGCTGCTGGTGCAGAAGAAGTTCTCAGATGAAGTGCGGGAGAGGGTCTTCAAGGTAAGGCAGGTCCCCAGCGCCAGCCTCTTGCCATCCCCAGCGGCCGGGGGCTTTGCCGCAGCGGGGTGGCCACCTCTCTCTGTCTCACCAGGTCCTCTACAAGATGCTGAAGTACGAGAAGGTCCCTGAGCGCAGCAAGAACCGCCTGAAGCTGAAGGACATCGGGTACCAGGGGCTCATCGCCTGCCTCAGCGACGTCCCCGGCTCCATGCTGCTCTTCCGCTGCCTCTCGGAGCAGGTCCTCGGGGCAGGTACCACGTGCCCTGCCGAAACCAGGCTGGCCCTGGCCACCCATCCCAAATGCGTGCCATGGGGTCACCGCTGGTGGCTTCCCACAAGGCTCAGCCGGTCTTGGGCCTGGGGGCCTTTGGTGGCTTTTGGGGACAGAAGGACCTGTCCCACCACCGTGCTCTCTCTCCTTGTCCACAGACCCCCCCAACTACAAGGACCTGGTGGCTGTGGTTTACCTGTCCCACCGGGCCGAGCTGACCGTCCGGCTCGATATCTGCCGCAAGGTGAGCGGGGCCATGGGCACGAGGGGCTGTGACCGAGCAGTTGCCCTGGGCCTGAGCTGGCCGGAGCCACCCACGGGCACCCAGCCGTGCCCAAACGCGGGGGCCATGGGGATGGT